TGCCCTGACAGTACTACAACCTCAACCTGGGTGGTTTTATGCAATAGGTCTTTACTCTTTTACAGGTTTGGAGGTTTAAAATCAAAGGGCTGGCAAGGACATTTAATCCGGAGCTACACAGGAGGAGGAGGGCGACCTGCCAACAGAAATTCCGTTCTGAATCCAAAGTGTCATTTTACGACTGGCTAGCTCTGGATTGGATGGGCTAAAGGGCACCCATGAGGAATGTCAGGAGAAGACTGTTCCAGAGAGATTTAAAAAATACTTTAAAAATTTAATACGGGGTCTCATGTAGCTCAAGCTGGTCTCAACCTTGCTATATAGTAAAGGTTGATCTTGATCTTGAATTCTTTTTTAAAAAAAACATTTTATTGCTGGGTATCGTGGCGCACGTCTTTAATCCCAGCACTCGGGAGGCAGAGGCAGGTGGATCTCTGTGAGATCAAGGCCAGCCTGGTCTACGTAGTGAGTTCCAGGACAGCTGGGGCTACAGGTAGACTCTATCTCAAAAAGACTAAAAAAAAAAAAAAACCATTTTATTTATTATTTAATTTTTCTGTGTATTGCCTGCATGTAAGTGCACCGATGCCATGCAATACCCATGGAGGTCAGAAGAGGGCACTGGATTCCCCTGGAACTGGAGTTACAGACAGCTGTTAGCCACCATGTGGATGCAGGGAATTGAACCTAGGTCCTCTGCAAGAGCAGCCAGTGCTCTTAACTGTGGAACCATCTCTCTAGCCCCTTGAATCCTTTTTTGTTAATAATAATTTTATCGATTCATTGAGAATTTCATTATATATGTATATGATGTTTGTTTTATATATATGTATATGTGTGTGTGTGTGTGTTTTGTTTTGTTTTTTTGAGAAATAGGGTCCTCCTGTAGCCCCAGCTGGCCTGGAACTCTGTGTGTAAGCCAGGCTGGCCTCTGTCACAAAGATCCACATGCCTCTGCCTCCTGAGTACTAGAATTAAAGGCGCAGATCACCACACCTGGCATACAATGTATTTTGATCATTATTCAAACCTCCTCTTCAACCAGGCATGGTGGCACACGCCTTTGATCCCAGCACTCGGGAGGCAGCGGCAGGTGGATCTCTGTGAGTTTAAGTTCAGCCTGGTCTACATAGCAAGTTCCAGGCGAGTTGGGGCTACAGGGAGACCCTGTCTCAGAAAGACAAAAACAAAACCTCCTCTTCCATCATTTCACAGAACTCCCCCACCTCTCCACCCTCCTGCTTTCTGTCCTTACTGTTTATTTTTTAAGCTCTATGGAGTCCAATCAGAGGACCTTGAATTCTTGATCCTCCTTCCTCTACCTTCCAAGTACTAGGATTACAGCATGCACTGGCACGGTTGGCTACTGTGTTTGGAGGTAGGGTCTGGCTGTGTATTCAGCATGGCCCTGAACCCTTGATCCTCCTGTTCCACCTTGAAGCACTGAGGTTACAGGTATGCACCACCATGGCCAGCTCCTCACATAATTAACATTTTATCATTTGTCAGGTAAAGTCCAGGTCTTCACAGGTTGTTTCCGGACATTCACTTCTATAGTGTTGGTCCTTGGTTCGATTTGGTACAAATAGTTACACTGTATTTAAACCCTCCAAATGAGTTTTCCATTTACAAGCTAGAGTATCTCTGAAGGGGTCAGAGGTATAAAAACCAATTGAGAAGTGGGGGTCCGGTGGAGTACACCTGTGAACCCATATAATCTCAGCTCTTGGCAAATGAAGGAAGGAAGATTAGTAATCCAAGGTTGTCCCTGGCTACACATCGAGTTCCAGGCCAGTTTGAGCTACCTGAAGCATAGTTTTATTGTAGTTTTTTGTTTGTTTTTTAGAAGAGGGTGGTTGGGATGAGGTTGCTCAGCTGGTAAAGGTGCTTACTGTCAAACCTGATGACCTGAGTTCAAAACCCCAAGACCCACATAGTCGGGGGAGAGAACTACCTCCTGCATGTCATCATCTCTCCTCCCCAGGTGCACCATGGCAAGTGCATATGTTCACGTGCATCATGTACACAATAAACAGATTAAATGTTAAAGCAAAATAATAAAATAATAAGAGTAATAGTAAAAACAGGGGCTGGCAAGATGGTTCAGTGCTTACTGTCAAGTCTGGTGATCTGAGTTCAATCCTCAGGACTCACATGGTAGAAGGAGAGCATCTACTTCTGTGGGTTGTCCTCTGACCTTTACACTCATACTGTGCATGCCTGCACCACCCCCACCAAATGGATAAATAAATAGAAAAACAAGAGCAGCGGGACTGTGTGCAGATGGAGCGATCCTGACTCAGGGAGTCCTGGCCATGCCCCCTTGGGGAAGCCCTGCTCATAGGCCATTCCTGTGGCACGTGTGAGTGGAGGGGTGTGTGTGGAGTGTGGAGTGTCGTACCTGCTGGTACAATTATGCGAGAGCCTACGTGTACAGGCCAAGGAACAGAACAGGGAAGCAAGCAAGGGTTGGGTGACGGCCTCCTGATCAGTGACGCATTCACAAGGAATCCAGATCTTTCTGCACACTTGCAGGGGTGTGTTTCATTCCTAGGTAGCTCCAGGAATGTGTTCATTCCTGTTGCCCTAACAGTTAACCCTTTGGTGTTTACAAAATGTTAACAGTTTGTATGTTTTGTGGTGCTAGCGATAGATGGACCCCAGGACCTTGTGCATGTTAGGTGAGCACTGAGCCACATCTCCAGCCCCCAGTCCCAAATGTGTGTGTGTGTGTGTGTGGTGTGTATGTGTGTGCATGTGTCTATGTGAGTGCCCTTGTCTTTGTTTACAAGTATGGAGGCCACAGGTTCACCGTGATGTTTTTTTTTTTTTTTTTTTTTTTGGTATTTTTGAGACAGGGTCTCCCTGCAGCCCCAACTGTCCTAGAACTCACTATGTAGACCAGGCTGGCCTTGAACTCACATAGATCTGCCTGCCTCTGCATCCCGAGTGCTGGGACTAAAGACGTGTGGCCACCATGCCCAGCTGTTTTTTTTTTAACCTTTAAAAAATTTTATTATTTTAATTTTATGTGTATGTGTGTATTGCCTGCATGTAGGTAAGTGCATCTGTGTCGTGCAATGCCCATGGAGGACAGAAGAGGCTGTTGGATCCTCTGGGATTGGAGTTATGGACAGTTGTTAGCTGCCATATGGGTGTTGGGATTCGAACCCAGGTCTATCTGCAAGAACAACTAGTGTTCTTAACTGCTGAGCCATCTCTCTAGCCCCTGCTTTTATTTTTTTGACACAAGAGCTCACTATGTAGCTGTGGCAAGCCTGGAACTCACTATGTAGACCAGATTGGCCTCAATCTGGCTAAGATTCACCTGCCTCTGCCTCCTGAGTGCTAGGATTAAAAGCGTGCACCACCATGTCCAGCTTACAGGCCTTTTTTTTTTTTTTTTTTTTTTTTTGAGACAGGGTATCTCAGTGAAACTGGGGTTTGCCCCTTTGGCTTGACAAGCTGGTCCCCAGGATCTTCCTGATTCTGCACTCCCAGCACTGGAATTACAGGCACATGCCGTCACACCTGCTCTTTCATGTGGTTTCTAGGAATCCCAACTCAGGTTCACATGTGTGTACCACAAACACTTTACCCACTGAGCCATCTCTCTGGCTGCCAATTCCAATTGAAAAATAAAGGTTGAAACAAGTGTGGTGGTTCATGCTAAATTTTAATTACAGCACTCAAGAGGCAGAGGCAAGCAGATCTAAATTTGAGGCCAGCCTGGTCTACACAGAGAGTTTCAGGTCAGACAGGACTTTACAGTGAGACCCTGTCTCAAAATAGTTAAATAAATAAACAACTTTTACAAACTGTGTAGCAATCTCAGGACATGTTCAGCACCCTCAGTGCCAGGCCCTGTCCTGAGAACACTGTAGGTTTGAACTCATTAGCCCTCAGTTCCCCTAGTGCCAGGTGTCTGTCTCTTAAAAGTTGCGAAATCTGGGACCCAAAGAAGGGAAGGACCTTGCCATGTGGAACAGCCCCTCCACTGAGCTGCCCTCCCCACCCATCTCTCCTTCTCTGTGTGCCTAAGATGCTCCAGTCAGGAGGAAAGCTCTCTTCCTGCAGGGCAGTGCTGCTTTCTGTCATCTTGGGACATCTTGTAGCTCTCTTCAACACTGTTCCACCCACCCCCACCTTGACTTTGCAGGTTCATCCAGAACAGGAGAAAATCCAGGTCCCCTGAGCCCTGTCCCCTCTTCTGCTTATTCTAAACATTGAAATAAATTATTGACATTTAAAAAAAATTCTTGAAAGGGGCTGGAGAGATGGCTCAGGGGTTAAGAGCACTGGCTTCTCTTGCAGAAGACCTGGGTTTGATTCCCAGCACCCACATGGTTGCTAACAACCCTTGGTAACTCCAGTTCCAGGGGCTCCAACGCCCTCTTCTGACCTTCATGGGCATTGCACCACATGGATGCACTTGCATACATGCAGGCAATACACTCATACACATAAAATTAAAATAATAGGCGCCGGGCGGTGGCGCACGCCTGTAGTCAGACCCTCACGTGGGCACTCTGGGGCAGAGCTTGGAAAAGTGCTTATAACAGGCTCAGTGTTAGCCAGTTTGACTCACACAGTTCCCCCTTTTCTAATGCCCTTTAAGACAAGGCTACTGTGTGAGAACGTTTCCGAGCACTGCACGGTGCCTGGCCTGCCACTCGCACACTTTGGCGCACACACTACTTTCTGCTGTTAAACAAATCCGGCTCAAGCGGAATACATTCTTTGTGCCCTCTAGAGGAAAATTTTTGGAAGTCCACTTTGTGTGAACTTCCGGGCAGGCACGGCGCTGCCCTGCCGCGCTTCCACCCCTGGATGCTGGCAAAGCCGCCTGACTCCGGCCGGGGTGGTCGGTGCGCGGACCTCCGCCACAGGCGGCTCCTGGAGAGTGACCTCCTCTGGCCTCCCAGGACTAAGGAGGCGCTCCTCCTTTGATTGACAGGGGAAGCCGCAAATGCTCGCCCGAGGTAGTCGCCTTGCGCGCGCTAGGGGGCGTGCCACCTAGCTGCTGGTCTGGCCCAATCCGCGGCGTCCAAGGGGCTGAGGGGCGGGGCCTCGTGCCCGGCAGCCAATCGGGCGAGCCCAGCGGGCGCGGCGGGGGCGGTGCGGTCGCGGCTGGCGGCAGAAGCTGCCCAGGCAGGGCAGGGCAGGACCGAGCAGAGCGGCCGAAGCCAGGCTGGGGTCCTGGGTTCTAGTCGCAGCCGGGGCGGGAGTCGCAGCGGAGCAGCCGGCGCGGCCGAGGTGAGGTGCGCCACGACGGTTGGGGCGCGAGGTTCGGGTTGTCGGCCCGGCCCGTCCCAGTCAGGCCGCCGCGTCGGGGCCGAGCCCGCGGGGCCGCGCCTCTCGAAACTTCTAGTCCCCGCGCGAGGGGCCGCGCGTGGGCTCGTGGAGTTGCGGGGCAGGCATGGGAGCCGGGGAATCCAGAGGTGGAGGCGGCGGATCGGGGCTCGAGGGCTGCTGCCGGGGGAGCAGAGGACTAGCGGACCCGGGGAGCTGGGGGTGCAAGGAGACCTGGAGTGAGCCGGGGGACCAGGAGGGAGCAGGGAAGCTGGGGATGCGGGGGGAGCAGGGGAACTGGGAGCGCAGGGGGACCAGGGGGCACTGAAGGTGCATGGGGTGCTGGGACCGCTGAGGTGCTGCGGGGAGCAGGAGGAGCTGAGGGGAGCTGGGGGTGCTTAGGGACATTGGGGGAACGGGGGCGGGAGCAGGGGGCACGAGGAGTACCGAGGGCACGAGGAGTACCGAGGCGTGGCTAACGAGCCCGAGAGTGGCCTGGGGGGCGGCCTGAGCAGGCGGGACCCATGCGGATGCACTTATTTGGGGCATTTTGCTGACAGGCAGCCCTCCATTTCCTTCCTCCCGCCTTCCCTGCCCTCTGAGAAGGAGAGGAGCTGAGCACTTGTGAACCTGACCCGGGAGGGAGGACCAGGGGAGGCCGGGATGTTTGTCCTTTTGACTTTCAGACTCCTAGAATTCGAACGGGAACTCCCTCCTTCGGGGCTGAAGCTTCGTTCCTCCCCGAGGTCCCGGACGGCTGCCGAAATGCAGCAAGTGATTCATTGGCTTGCGGCTCCCTCTGAACGGTCCACTTTGTGTTCCAAGGACTGGAAGGGGGAGCAGGGTGTGCTCTGGTTTGGGGGGAGGCCTCAGGGCTTTACTTCCAGGTAGACACGCCCCAGGGATGCCGGGGTTCTGGTTGCCTGCTAGAGGGAAGGTGGCCCTTCTCGCCTTCATTCCTTCTACCGGCCACCTGGGGTTTTTGCGGTGAAGGTGAGTAGCTGAGTCTCCAGGGCTACTCATTATGCTGTTTACCAAACACCCCTTGTCTGTTCTGATGGAAATCTAGAGACCAGCTCAAAGAATTTAATTCAGTGCACACCTCCCCCCCTCCCCGCAGGTATTTCAGTAGGCTGAAGTTGTTTTCACCCCCTTGGGATTGTCAGCTTGTAGCCCAGGGCGGAGGGACTGAGCAGGTGGTTGTGTTAAGAGCTCACTGTCCTGTTCCAGCCCCCAGCACTCTTATTCCATTGGATTCACAGGCCTCTCAGGAGAATGAATGGGAGCCAGTACACTAGTGGAAAACTTTGATCTGTGCTCAGACACTTAGCTGTAAGTGTTGGTAGTTTCCTTGGTGAGGTTGTTCTGCTTGAGCTATGAGGCCACCACGTGAGAAACGTCTGTGATGTGCTTTTTTTTTCCACCATAGTCTGGAGGCTGTGAAGAAACCTGACCATTAGGCTGGTGGATATTTATTACTTGGGAAAGTAACAACACAGGAGTAGATGAATGATTAGATCGTTCTCTTTGTGCTGTTCATTTTTTTTTTTTTTCTTGAGAATAACAGCTCATTTAAATAGAAATGGTATTCCTAGTTCATACTGTTTTGGGAACTAGAACTTTGTTACTTTTGAGCATAATCTAAAAGCGTGTGTATGGAAGAGGCAATACCTAGGCATCCATCATGGCCCGCTGCAGAGAGTGAAGATTGCCTTTCCTCTGGTCCTGGGTGCCAGGCCAGATTCTGATGGCCAGGCATTTCTGAGGTGGGAGCAGAGGGCATTTGCCTTTAGTCTTTTGATTCTTCTCTCTGACTTGACAGTCCATGCTGACTGGGGTAAGGCCAGACAGATTCTTAGGCTTCCTGCCTCTGAAGGGGTCATCAGTTGATCATCCTAGGATGTTAATGGAATATCATAATCGCAGTAAAATTAATAGCTGCCCTGGCGCCTTGTGTGGTAGCACTGAGTGCTTTCTGGCCAGCCTCACTGAACCTCCCAGCTGACTCTGGCCTGCCTTATCTGATGTGTGCTTGTACTTGGCTTCCTGGAGGTCATGCTTTAGGTTATGCAGGTAATTGTCATGCTCACTGGACTGATAGTGCCTCCTTGGTTTTTTCCAGTTGTTTGGAACTGCAGCTGCATATCTGAGGGCAGCCAGGGAGGCAAGGCTTAGTTACCAAGTCAATTTGCATCCTGCAGGTTGAAGTCCTTCCTTCAGGGCCTCTGCTGTAATCCTCCTCATACCTGAAAGTCTACCTGAAAACATTGTCCAAGTGGACCTGAACCTGGTCCTGAGGATTCTCAGTGCTGGCCCTTGGTATGGCTGTTTTGGGAGTTCCTTTGGTTTTAGCATTCAGATTTATGGTGCTATCTGTTGACTAGTGACCATCTTAAAGGAATGGGCCTCCCAGGAGGTCTAGCACCTGCGTGCAAGCTGTGAGCACATCTGTAGCCTCAGTTGCTGGCTTGGAGGGAGGGCCGGGGTGGAGATAGGTGGATCCCAGGAGCTTGTTGGCTAGTCAACCTAGCCAAATTGAGCTCTGGTTTCAGTGAGGTTTGTCTCAGAAAATAAGGTGGGCAAGTGATCAAGGAAGACACCTGGCCTACACACACACACACACACACACACACACACATATATTACATACATACAAAGAATAGTTCTCCCACTGGGCACTTGCCTATTATTCTACACTTTGGGAGACTGAGGCAGGGGACTCGCCTCTTGGGCTGCATAGTGAGATGCTGTCTCAATAAACAAAGAATAGTTCTCCAAATATTTGAACAGAGACATTTTTAGCATTGGTGCAATTCCTTTTTTAATATATATATATTTTAAGTTTTTATTTCATGTGTAGGAGTGTATTGCCTGCATGTATGTGAGTGTACCCGTGTCATGCAATGCCGCAGAGGTCAGAAGAGGGCTTCGGATTCCCCTGGAACTGGAGTTAAGGAGGGTTCGCAGCTGCCATGTGGGTGCTGGGAATCGAACCCAGGTCCTCTGCCAGAGCAGTCAGTGCTCTTAACCACTGAGCCATCTCTCCAGCCCCATCATTGGTGCAATTTCATTGGTAACTGTTAGAGAGATAATGGTCAAGTGAGAGTACAAGTTTCAGTGTTTTGTTTTGTTTTTTTTTTAGATAGGGTCTCCTTGTAGCCCCAGCTGGCCTGGCTTGGCCTAGCACTTGCTGTATAGACCAGGCTGGCCTGGATCTCACAGAGATTCACCTGCCCCTGCCTCCCAAGTGCTGGGATCAAAGGTATGCACCCCCACACCCAGCTCCCTATCCAGCTTTTATGTGTTTTTTTTTTACCCTTCCCACAGTACAGGATGTCAGAGTAGGAGACAGATGAAGACCAGGAGCCCCGGGTTCTGTCCAGCCTTTCCTCCACTAACCCTGAGGCTAGCATACTATAGATCTTAGGGTCTCAGTTTTCAGATCTGTGAAATAAAGGCTTAGAAGTTCCTAGTCTTTGAAATTCTGGCAACAGCTGTGAACCACTACCCAGGATGTGGATTACTTAGGAGCCAGGATCCAGGTTAAGAACTGGTTCATCTTTTCCTAAGCTGTTTCTCATAGTGTGGTGTAGTGGTGAGCACATCCCTTCCTAAACTGTCTCTCACCTCAGATACTCTGTAATCTTTTTTTCTCTGTCATTGTTGAGCTGATAATAACGGAGATTGTATTTATAGAGGACACACATTCCGAAGTATTTTCACCTCATTATTTTGTTCTCAAAACATTGAGTGATACGGGTCGTGATACAGAAGTGGCGTGAGGGCAGCCATTGCTGTGTAGGCTCCCACGGCTAGATGCCCATCCTGGATTGGCCTCCTGGATACCAGCATGGGGTTTTTCCATTAGGCTTTGCTTCTTTGGTGGTGGTTGCTGTGAGTTATGTTTGGCAGTGTAAATATTCCAGAATGTCACTTTTGAAGAAACTATCTGTTCATCCACTGAAAGACTGTTTTTCTGTTGGAATTTGGACCCCGAACACCTTCCTGTCTGACTGTGAAAGGCTTACTTATTTTGTTTTTGGTGGGTTTTTCTTCTTGCAATGTTTTTTTTAGAGAGGAAAATTTGTAGACTGGGGCTATTTTAAGCAGATTTATTTAATATTTATTGATTAAAGAATATATTTAAATGATTACTTTTCAGTTGCTTAGTACTTGAGAAAGCTGTGAAGTAAATAAATGTTAAGTGAAAATTCCAAATCGTAGACTCAACCTGTTGAAATATGCCCTCACTGGGGCACCTTTCCCTGCAGCCTGAGGCCCCTCCCTGGGCTACGAGCCCTTGGGTGGTTGAAAGTTGGATATGGGTTGTATTGGTGACCATGAATGCCTAACAGTGGTTTCTTGGGGCCTTTGGCCAGATCCCTAACACTTTATGGATTGAATTTGCCAGTTTATTAGTAGCATAGAGAATCTAAGCTATATAAAGAGCAAATGTACATGAAGGGATGTGATGCAGAGCACACGGAGGTTACAGGCTTATTTCTAATGAAGCTAATTATCCTGGTCAGATGTTTCAACCACGCAGGCATTGGGTAGCCCTCCAGTGTGGCCTGTGCTGGAGGAGTTCCCCGCACTGCAGTGTTAACCCCGACGCCTTTTCGGAGGCAGACAATAACAGTCTACTTTTTTTGTTTTTTGAGACAGGGTCTCATTTTCTAGCACTGATTGTCCTGGAACTCACTGTGTAGACCAGGCTGGTGTCAAAGTTGTAGAGATCTACCTGTCTCTGTGTCTAGAGTGCTGGTGCTACCACACTTGGGCTCACTTTTGTGGCATGGGGCAGGAAAGTTGGGAAAGGACAGACTGGACACATGCAGCTCCCTGATGTGGAACAAGAAGCTGTGCTTAGTCCCCCAGTGAAGGACTTACCTCGAAGAGAAAACTGGTGGAGGTTCGTGGCAAACAGTGAATTCTGAACATTAAGCAAGAGGGAATTATTCAAATGAGATGCCTGGACTGGAGAGATGGCACAACCTTTAAAGTCTTAAGACTTTGACCAAAAACGTCAAAGTAGATGCCTGGTGGGGAAGTGCGGCTGTCCTGTCAGAAAGACCTGTTATGGCACGTGAGCACAGACTGCTGCCATTAAGCAGCAGTGACCAGAACGAGGACCCACCACACACCTGCCTCACTAGCTCTGCCAGTATTCACAAGTACTTACTCTGACCAGGAAACTGGCACCATCCATCAGTCCTTTCTGTCCAATGGCTTCTTGTCTGTTCAAATATTGGTGGGGGCAGGGTTGGTGGCAGGGAGCTGGGGAGCTCCATTAAGCTGCTGCTCGAAGTGTTGGAGTTTTGTTTTCTTTTTATTTATTGATTTTGTATGTGTGTCTGTGTGTGGGTATGTGCAGGTGTGTGCAGAGTACCGGTAGAAGAGGATGTTTGATCCCCTGGAGCTGTAGTTACAAGTAGTTGTGAACCTCCTGATATGGGTGCTGGGAACCCACTTTGGTCCTTTGGAAGAGCACCACATGTTCTTAACTGCTAGACCATCTCTCCAACCTCTTGTTTTATTTTTATGTTTTT